GGGCCCAGGGGCGGTGCGCATGCCTCTCACGACGACGACAACGACGACGACGACGACGACGACGACGACGACGACGACGACGACCACGACGACGACAGCGACGACGACGACGACGACGACGACGACGACGAAGACGACGACGACGACGACGACGACGACGACGACGACGACGACGACGACGACGACGACGACACGACGACGGCAGCGACGGCGACGACGACGAAGACGAGCCCCCGTGCGACCATCGGCTGTGTGCAGCAGACGCCAGACCGCTGGCAGAGTGCCAGATGCTCCAGTCTGGCTGTTGACGGGAGGGGGCCCTTCTCGGTCCGCAAGGCATCCCCCCCGTACACTCTTGGGACACGCAACTCCTCCTCCTCCTCCTCCTCCTCCTCCTCCTCCTGCTCCTCCGCCTCCTCCTCCTCCTCCTCCTCCTCCCGCCTCCTCCTCCTCCTCCTCCTCCTCCTCCCCTCATCTTCTTCTTCGTAGTATAATTATTATTGTTATTATGAATATTTGTTGTCCTATTCGTATGTCTCTTCATGTTATTCATATGCATACTGTTTTTGTTAGTAATTGTACCCTTCGTCTGAAGAGTATACTTATTATTTATCTTTACTCTCTACGCAGCTCGCCCCTTTTAGGATGCGTGCGCGCGGCCTCCCCGCCGCCTCGCTCTTGATACTCATATGTAGATCTTAATTACTATTGAGATGATTCGTTTTTCCTCTCCTCCTCACTACATCCTCCTATCCTCCCCTACTCCTCCTCCCGCTCCTCCTCCCTCCCTTCTCCTCCTCCCTCCTTCCCGCCCTACCTCCTCCGCCCCTCCTCCTCCTCCTCCTCCTCTCTTCCTCCTCCCCTCCTCCTCTCCTCCGCTTCCTCTTCCGTCCTCCTCCTGCTCCTCCTCCTACTCCTCCTCCTCCTCCTGCTGCTCCTCCTCCTCCTCTCCTCCTCCCCCTCCTCCCCTCCTGCTCTCCTTCCTCTCGTTGCTCCTCCTCCTGCTCTCCTCTGCTCCTCCTCCTCCGCCTCCTCCTCCTCCTCGCCCCTCCTCCTCCTCCTCCTCCTCCTCCTCCTCCTGCTCCCCCTTCGAAATCGGTTCCCCCCACACTCTCCGGGGGACGACAACAAGGCCAAGGAGAGCACGCGAGGGTTGAAGTGGGCTCTGGGATGGCCCCGAGAAGCCCCGAAAGTGGCCCCAAGAACGGCCGCACGGGCCCTGGTGCCCACCCCATCAAACGGGGTCGACTGGCAAACGTGGAGGCTCTTACATCTACACGTGTTACAGGTATCGGAAACAATTAAGCAACACTCATGCAGAACATATGGTTTGATCCTCCCCCCCATCCCCCCAAATGCAATGTTGGTTTCGGATCTTCCGGTTTGGGGCCTCCGCGCGGTCTTGCGAACACCTGTCAACTTTGAATTGCGGGGGGGGGTGTTGCTTAATTGTTTCCATCAACCGTATCTCTTTAAACACCCTTCGGGTGATGATGAGATTGGGAGGGTGAGGAGCTTAGACTTCGATGTGCTTCGGGTTGCTTGTTCGATCCGCATTTCAATGGGCATACCGACTGCAACTGGATTTGCATGCTGGTGTGCACGTCGATGGATATTTAAATTCGGATTGGATGTACACTCCGATGTGGATGACGATTCACATCTCCATGTGTATTTCCTACGGGACAACCACGAGACAATCCACGGGACAACTCGCAAGACAACCACAGGACCACCCGCGGAATAACCCTGGAACAACCCACGGGACAACCCACTCGAAAACCCACGGGAGAACCACGAGACAACGATGGCGCCACCCACTGGACAACCCACTAAACAACCCACGGGACAACCCCGCGCCTCACCACGAGGCATCAGAGCAGAACCCTGTTGTCCGATTCGGCAGCAGCAACGGCCGACACATCATCCCCTCGTTTGGCGGCGCGCACAGTGGGGCTGGCCATACATCTACAGAGAAGGCCCGCGCCTTCTAAGAAGCAAGGGCGCTTCTAGGAAGCATTCCCCCCTCCCCCGACCCCCTCTGCGCGTGGCTGACTCGTACAACTGCGCCTCGGCCGCACGCACGACCGAACCGAGCCGAAACCGTGTTACCAGTGGGGGTAGCGTCGTTCTCAGCCACTAAGCTCTGGTCGATCAGCCTCATTGTCTGTCCCACGAGACAGCCACGGAAGAACTCATGGGACAACCACGGGCACGGGACGACCCACGGGACAACCACGGGACATCCGCGGGACAATCGTGGGACCACCACCACGGGATAACCGAGTGGACAACCACGGCACAATCCCGCAGGCTAACACGAGCCGGAAGGAGAATCTTCTTCCACACATCATCGCCCTCGCCTCGCGCAGCTTTGCGTCGCCCGCACGGTCACCCCCGACCTTCGATCACCTAATCAGGGTCATCTCGAAGTCGGCCCCTGGAACCCTCTCAGAGAACATAGACACAAACAGGCCAACCAGGCCAGACGGACCAGGCCAAACGACGATACAAAACCGCAGACCAGACAGACATAGACGAGACGAACTGACAGACCAAGAAGACATCTGGCAGGCAGGCCTGCAGACGAATCCTATGACAGACACGCCAAATCATAACAGAAAGACTCACCAAACAGAACACCAGATGGGCCCGTGCTCTGCCGTGCTCCCACGAAGAGGTATGACTGTCAAGGAGATGATGGTTTCCCACTCGTCGTCCATCCCCCCTCTGCTGGCCTCCACTGCGACCACAAGCGCCACCAGCTGCCATCTGCCAGCAGCCCCGCGGCGCAAAAGCCAGGCGGCGCGTGGCTTCCGTCGGAACAAGATGAGGGGAGGCCAAAGAGAAAGCGGGGCCACAGGGACACGCAGAACGCCACGGAGACGAGTGACGACACAACTGGAAAGGGGGGGGCAATCATGGAATGTCAGCGGCTGTGGGTCGCAGGGCCAAGCAGAACTGCGTGCAGCCCCTGACGAGCATATGCAGCGCAAGAGCAAAAGGTGCTGGCGGAGGAAGAAATAATGACAGTGGGAGTTGTCGTGGTGGTGGCACTCGTTCGATCAAAATCTTGTCATCAGAAGAATAGAAGGAAACGAAGCCCCTTCTGAGCCCTGCTTGCGCCCAGATTCACGGAGAACGCCCGAGGAACCACCAAAGGCAGGACCCAGGGGAACCCCCAGCCACTCCCGAAATCAAATTGGTCCGTATTTCGAAAGAAGAACAATAGTCGCGGACGTGGCCGCAGTGGCCGTGCCTCTCCTCTCGAACGCACAGGCCGACCTCAAGAGCCGACAGCATGCCCCAGGTGAAACTCACTTCGCTCGAACTGGTGCTCAACACACCCAAACTCACGCGTCGAATCCAGTGCATCTCCAGAAACGTTGTCACTTAAAACCACCCGACTGCATCCAGTGAGCCGCCTGGGGCAGCGATCGGAACAATAGTTTGGGCAGCGTCTTGAGGCACGCCGTCGGCGGCGTTTTGGGGCGACGCTCGTCTTCGGGCATGCCCCGCTTTGGGAGCCCAGGCGTCCCTCCTCGGAGAGCGGCGCCTGCGCCCCCCAAAAGGAGCCAGCCGCTGGAAGAAGACCTGCAGCAGGGCTCGAGCTGAACGGTGTGCCTCGTTCTCGCTGTGCTGTCGTTTTCCTTCGCTCTGTCCTCATTCGGCCTCTGCTGCGAGACGAAATCGAGGAGGGCGTCACCCTCCAGAAATCGCCCTGGGGTGATCCAATGTCAGCTGGGATTCGCCCTCGATGCGAGGGGCTTCGGCCTACGGCAGGAGCTCGACCACAAGGGACCTTCCACCAGAAGCCCCACCCTGAGACCCCAGGCCGTCCATGGATTTTGGTGTGGGAACGCCACGCTTTCCATCGCAGAACCAGCGAAACCCCAGAAGCCCAGGGCACCCTGGAGGCGAGCAGGGCGTTTCTTGGCATGGGGTTTCCACTGCAGGTCACCCCCCCTTTCGCGTGTCGCGCCCCGCAAAGCGAGACGCGCGGTCCTGTTCGCGCCCCCGCGCCGCCGCCCCTGGCGAAGGGCGCCTGTCAGACCCGAGCCGCAGTGCGCGACGCGCGAGGACCTTCGCGCCCCTGGGGGTGACCTCTGTCAACTCTTGGCGCTCCGCGCGGATTTCTTGGATCTTCGCTGGGCCCCCCTCCCAGGCGCGCGGAGCGCGCCAGGGGCGGCGCCGGAGGCGCCGCTGGGTGGGGGCAGCGCGGATCCAAGAAATCCGCGCGACACGCCCAAAGTTTACTTGCACGGCGTTCCTTCTTCTTCGACCTGGTCTACCAATTCAAGAAATCCGCGCGAAACGCCCAAAGTTTACTTGCACGGCGTTCCTTCTCCTTCGCCCTGGTCTACCAGCCATCGCGCCACGTACTCCAGATTTCGTAATAAAAGGGAGGGGGTCTGGACCCTCCAAGACAAGCCATTTCAGACCTCCCCCGTGGGAGAACCCTCCAAAACATCGTCCCCAGACCCCCAGGCCCTCCAAGATAGCCTGGAAGAGACCCCCCCCCGAAATCAGACCCCCCTCCCTTTCTTACGAAATCTGGAGCACCCGGAGGAACGCCGAGCAAGGAGCACGGGAACTCTCGTGCCCACGGCAGGCCTCGGCCACGAACGGGCTCCCCCGACCCGGATCGAAAGAGCGGCCCGCCATCTTCTGAGAAGGCCTCCTCCTTCTCACTGATCCCCCTCGCTCGCCGCCGACCCTGGTCACGCCCGTGATCGCCAGGGGGAAAAAATAGGCGGCGCCACCTTGGGCTTCAGAGGGGAACTGAGCCCCTCTGAAGCCCAAGGTGGTCCCCACTTCGGCGTCTCGACTGCACCTGGCGTTAAGTCGGGCCTGTCCCCCTACCGGGGGATATTCGACGAAAAATGTCTGGGGACTATTTTGTTCAATATTTTTTGACCATTTGGAGTATTTTGGGGGTATTTTTCATCTTCGTCGAGAATCCCCCTGCAGGGGGGCGCGCCCGACTTACACCTAGCGTTCTCCACAACATGAGACCGCGACGCTGGACCGCCGCGCCGGACTCCGCGACGCCAGGGCCGCGACGCCGGACCGCTACGCTTGACTGCCTCGCCCGAACCGTGCCGCCGGACCGCGACGCCGGCACCCGCTTCGCAGGAACCTCGACGTCGGACTGCCACGCCGGACACCGCCTCGCCGGAGCCGCAACGCCAGCCCACGACGTCCGACCAGCGTAGACGTCGTCGTAGTCGTCGTCATCGTCGTCGTCATCGTCGTCCGTCGTCGTCCGTCGTCGTCGTCGTCGTCGTCGTCGTCGTCGTCCGTCGTCGTCGTCGCCGTCGTCCGTCGTCGTCCGTCATCGTCGTCGCCGTCGTCGTCGCCGTCGTCGCCGTCGTCGTCCGTCGTCCGTCATCTTCGTCGTCGTCCGTCGTCGTTCGTCGTCGTCGTCGTCGTCATCGTCCGTCGTCCGTCGTCGTCCGACATCGTCCGTCGTCGTTCGTCCTCGTCCTCGTCGTCGTCGTCGTCCGTCGTCGTCCGTCGTCCGTCGTCGTCGTCGTCGTCCGTCGTCGTCGTCGTCGTCGTCCGTCGTCCGTCGTCGTCCGTCGTCGGTCGTCGTCGTCGTCGTCGTCGTCCGTCGTCCTCCGTCGTCGTCCGTCGTCGTCCGTCGTCGTCCGTCTTCGTCGTGGTCCGTCCTCGTCCGTCTTCGTCCGTCGTCGTCCGTCGTCGTCGTCGTCGTCGTCGTCGTCGTCGCCGTCCTCGTCGTCGTCGTCGCCGTCTTCGTCCGTCGTCGTCCGTCGTCCGTCATCGTCGTCGGCGTCGTCGTTCTTCGCTGGGTCGTCGTCGTCGTCCGTCGTCGTCCGTCGTCGTCCGTCATCGTCCCTCGTCGTTCGTCCGTCGTCGTCGTCGTCCGTCGTCGTCCGTCATCCGTCGTCGTCGTGGGTTCTTCGTCATCGTCGTCGTCCGTCGTCCGTCGTAGTCCGTCGTCGTCCGTCGTCGTCCGTCGTCGTCCGTCGCCCGTCATCGTCGTCGTCGTCGTCGTCCGTCGTCGTCGTCGTCCGACGTCGTCCGTCTTCCGTCGTCGTCGTCGTCGCATTCGTCGTCCGTCGTCGTCCGTCGTCCGTCATCGTCGTCGTCATCGTCGTCCGTCGCCGTCGTCGTCGTCGTCGTCGTCCGTCGTCCGTCATCATCCGTCATCGTCCGTCGTCGGTCGTCGTCGTCGTCGTCGTCGTCCGTCCGTCGTCCGTCGTGGTCGCAGTCGTCGTCCGTCGTCGTCCGTCGTCGTTCGTCGTCGTCGTCGTCCGTCGTCGTCAGTCGTCGTCCGTCGTGGTCGTGGTCGTCGTCGTCGTCGTCCGTCGTCGTCGTCGTCATCCGTCCTCGTCCGTCGTCCGTTATCGTCGTCGTCGTCCGTCGCCCATCATCGTCCGTCATCGTCCGTCGTCGTTCGTCGTCGTCGTCGTGTCCGTCGTCCGTCGTCGTCGGTCGTCCGTCGTAAGTCGTCGTCGTCGTTCTTCGTCGTCGTCGTCGTTCTTCGTCGGTCTTCGTCCGTCGTCCGTCGTCGTTCGTCCGTCGTCGTCATCGTCGTCGTCGACCGTCGTCGTTCGTCGACGTCGTCGTCGTCCGTCGTCGTCGTGGTCGTCGTCGTCGTCCGTCGTCGTCGTCGTCGTCGTCGTCGTCTCCGTCGCCCGTCGTCGTCCATCGTCGTCCGTCGTCGTCCGTCGTCGTCCGTCGTCCGTCGTCCGTCGTCCGTCGTCGTCGTCGTCGTCGTCGTCGTCGTCGTCGTCCATCGTCGTCGTCGTCGTCTGTCGTCGTCCGTCGTCCGTCGTCCGTCGTCCGTCGTCCGTCGTCGTTCGTCCGTCGTCGTCGTCATCGTCGTCGTCGTCGTCGTCCTCGTCGTCGTCGTCGTCTCCGTCGTCCGTCTTGTATACATTGCAGCTGTTGCGGCGGAGGTTGCGGCGGCGGGCCCGAACAGGCCACGGCGGCGGCGGCAGCGTCGGGACTTTAAAATGTGGGGCATACTCGAGAGGGCACGCGTGAACCCTAGCGGGCGGCGGCGGCGACGGACCCTAGCGGGCGGCGGCGGGACATTCAAGTGTGGGGCATACTCGAGAGGGCACGCGTGCACCCGCACGGGCGGCGGCGGCGGGACATTCAAGTGTGGGGCATGCTCGAGAGGGCACGCGTGAAACCTAACAGACGGCGGCGGCGGCGGCGGGACATTGAAGTGCGGGGCATACTCGAGAGGGCACGCATAAACCCTAACGGGCGGCGGCGGCGGCGGCGGCAGGCCCTAACGGGCAGCGGCGGCGGCGGCGGCGGGACAAAAACATGTGGGGTACACTCGAGAGGGCACGCGTGAACCCTAACGGGCGGCGGCGGCGGCGGCTGCGGCGGAACCTAACGGGCGGCTGCAGCGGCGGGACACTAAAGCGTGGGGTATACTCGTGAGGGCACGCGTGAACCCTAACGGGCGGCGGCGGCGGCGGCGGCGAACTCCGACGGGCGGCGGCGGCGGCGGCGGGACATTAAAGCGTGGGGCATACTCGTGAGGGCACGCGTGAACCCTAACGGGCGGCGGAACCGTAACGGGCGGCGGCGGCGGGACATTAAAGCGTGGGGCATACTCGTGAGGGCACGCGTGAACCCTAACGGGCGGCGGCGGCGGCGGGCCCTAACTGGCCGCGGCGGCGGCGGGGGACATTGAAGTGTGGGGCATGCTCGAGCGGACACGCGTGAACCCTAACGGGCGGCGGCGGCGGCGGCTGCGAACTCCAACGGGCGGCGGCGGCGGCGGACCCTAACGGGCGGCTGCGGCGGCGGCGGGACATTAAAGTGTAGGGCATACTCGTGAGGGCACGCTCGAATCCAAACGGGCGGCGGCGGCGGCGGCGGACCCTAACGGGCGGCGGTGGCGGCGGCGGGACATTAAAGTGTGGGGCATACTCTAGACGGCACGCGTGAACCTGAACGGGCGGCGGCGGCGGCGGGACATTAAAGTGTGGGGCATGCTCGAGAGGGCATGCGTAAACCCTAACGGGCGGCGGCGGCGGCGGCGGTGGACCTTTAACTGGCGGCGGCGGCGGCGGCGGGACATGAAAATGCGGGGCATACTCGAGAGGGCACGCGTGAACCCTAACGGGCGGCGGCGGCGGCTGCGGCGGACCCTAACGGGCGGCGGCGGCGGCGGCGGGACATTAAAGTGTGGGGCATACTCGTGAGGGCACGAGTGAACCCTAACGGGCGGCGGCCTCGGCGGCGGGCCCTAACGGGCGGCGGCGGCGGCGGCGGGACATTAAAGTGTGGGGCATGCTCGAGAGGGCACGCAGGAACCCTAACAGGCGGCGACGGCGGCGGCGGCGGCGGCGGACCCTAACGGGCGGCGGCGACGGCGGCGGCGGCGGCGGACCCTAACGCGCGGCGGCGGCGGCGGCGGGACATTAAAGTGTGTGGCATGCTCGAGAGGGCACGCGTGAACCCTAACGGGCGGCGGCGGCGGCGGCGGGACATGAAAGTGTGGGGCATGCTCGAGAGGGCACGCGTGAACCGTAACGGGCGGCGGCGGCGGCGGCGGGCCCTAACGGGCGGCGGCGGCGGCGCCGCCAATTCTGGCGTGCCGGTTCTGGCGTCGCGGTTCTGGCGTGCCGGTTCTGGCGTGCCGTCTCTGGCGAGGAGGGTCTGGCGTGCCGGCCCTGGCGTGCCGGTTCTGGCGTCGCGGTTGTCTGGCGTCGCGGTTGTCTGGCGTCGCGGTTGTCTGGCGTCGCGGTTGTCTGGCGTCGCGATCTTGCCTATTCTCCACGGGCGCCCCCACCGAGACCCACCGGTGCGCCACAGGCCGGTGGGCGCCTGGCCCCGCGAGCCGTGCGGCGAGGCAGGGCCACGCGCTCACCCCCGCAGGGGGCGAGGCCGGCCACGGACACGGCGGCGGCCACCGGCCACTCGTTTCCTGCACCAGGTGGCGACATCCGAACCCGACCCCCGCCGAGCATCGAGTCGCCCGAATCGGCGGTGGACAAACCTCCCTTCAGTAAACCTCCCCTTAGTGAAAACGGCCTGGGACCGAAACCGACGGACCTGGACCCGCAAAAATGACGGCCGCGACGCCCTCTCGCGAACTCGACGTGTCAGGGTAGGAGGTCTGTCCACCCCCGACCGAATAGTGGGTCGGCGAGGGCAGGGTTCTCGATGCCTCCGCCGATCTGCACAGAAAAACTCTGCAGGGGAGCCAGCGTGCTCTCATTGCTCAGGCCCGTGGTGGGAGAAGTGGTGAGGAGGTCTCGGGCAATGCGCCTGGCCTGCCTCTCCGACCAGCCTCGGGGTGCAACGGGGAGGAGTTGTTTACAGCATGCATGAATCGGGGTGCGACGGGGAGGAGTTGTTTACAGCATGCATGCATACAAGAGCCAGGCGCCTCGACGGCGCATCGGCAGAGAAGGTACCGTGCTGACGTGCACTGGTAGCGTGGCGAAAACAAGCGAGGTCCGCTGAGTTTCCCATGCGGCGCGCTCAACATCTTCCACCATTGTCAAGGCAGAAGTGCGTGGACGCAGGATGCCCATTGCTCTTTGGGACTTGCGAGCGAACGATTTTTTTGGAAAATGAAAAAAGGGGAGGAGGAGGAGGAGGAGGAGGAGGAGGAGGAGGAGGAGGAGAAGGAGGAGGAGGAGGAGGGGAGAGGGAGGACAGAGGGATGCAAAGTGAAAAAGAGAGAGACGGGGGATGGGGAGGGGCAGGGCGGAGGACGGAGGGATGAAGGACGGATCACCGAGGCGGGGGCAGGAGGGCGAATGTATGAGGTAGAGGGCAGCAGGTAAGGAGAAGAAGGAAGCGGGAGAGAGGAGGGAACGGAGGAATCTACACAAGGAGTGAATGTGTAATAGTTCGATGAGCGAAAAGGCGGAAGTAAGATGGACACGAAGGAGGAGGGCGCATGAAAGAGAGAGAGGATGCGAGGTGAAAGAGAAAAGGGTGTTGAGGGGTGGATGGCGTAAGGATGAGAGGAGAGGAGGAGGAGGAGGAGGAGGAGGAGGAGGAGGAGGAGGAGGAGGAGAAGAAAGAGAAAGAGAAAGAAGAGGAGGAGGAGGAGGAGGAGAAGGAATAGAAAGAGGAGAAAAACGATGAAGAAAAGTCAGTGGATATCGTTTATGAACCGTCTGGAATGGAGGTGTCTTCGGCTTGAAGCGTGCAAAAAGTATTGTAGTCTCTACGGGGGCCGCTCGGGGGACTCGTGAGGGCCACTGGAGCGTCTGTGGGGGGGGCCTCTCGGGGGCTTCTCGGAGGCTTCTTGGGGGACTCCGAGGGCCTCTTGGCGACCGCCAGGAGGCTCCAGGCGCTGAGTGCGATCGGAGGGCCGCGTGGGGGGCGCTTGGGGGGGGAACCTCGTTTGGGCATATTGGGGCCCTCTTGAAGGGCTTGTTGGCCGTCTTGGGAGGGGGGGAGGAGAGGGAAGGGGAGGGGGAGGAGGAGGAGGAGGAGGAGGAGGAGGAGGAGGAGGAGGAGGAGGAGGAGGAGAAGGAGGAGGAGGAGGGAGGAGGAGGAGGAGGAGGAAGAGGAGGAGGAGGAGGAGGAGGAGGAGTCTTGGGGCCATCTTGGGTTTCTTGGGGCCCTCTTCGGGGACCTCTTCGGCGGCCTGGGAGCGCTCTTGGGGGCCCCTTGGAGCCGCCCGGGACGCTGGTAGGACAAACAACGAATACGCTGAACGTATACGTTCTCCTGACGGGAGGGGGCGGATTTTGCCGCTCGGGGCCCTCGAGGGGGTTCTCTTGGAGCCGTCTCGGGGCGTCTTGGGGGTCTCTTGCGCCGTCTTGAAGCCGCCTTGGGCCGCCCTGGAGCAGCCTGGGAGCCATCTGGGACGCGCGGAACTCCTACCGTGGGTCCCCAGGCTGCAGGGAAGGCTCCAGGGACGATCCGGACGCCGGGAGGGACGGGGGAACTTCGTGTATTTCAGATGCCCGTGGTGGTCTTCGGCCCGGGGGGCCCAGGGACAAGGTTTCGTGCATATGAGGGATGATGTGCCTCTGCAATTCGATGGCACTAAATTCTACGACCACAGTGTACAATGCATATGCTTAAGTGGTATGTTAGAATGCCACATGCTATGTTATTATGTTTTATGGTGTTATCGTATGTGCTATTGTGTCATAATATATGAGGTGTTGCTGTACTGAATTATGAGATAGTGACACCAGTGAGCTACATTATATTATAATGTATTATACTATAGTATAATATTTACGCCGAGCAATGCTAGATCATACAGGTTATAAAGTACAATGGTATCGTACTAATAAAAATACGAAAGAAAAACATCAGAGCTTGCGTCTGTAGGGGTCCTAGCGGATGCATGTGGTTAGGTGAGGTTTGGCGCCGATTTCGGCAGCACGCCCGGGTGCCTGGTTCCCGGTAGCCCTGTAGCCCTATAGCCCTATAGCCTTGCAGCCTTGTAGCCCTATAGCCCGATAGACCTCATGCCCTACAGCCCTATAGCCCTGTAGCCCTATAGCCCAAATAGTCCTATAGCCCTATAGCCCTACAGCCCTACAGCCCTATAGCCCTATAGCCCTAATAGCCCAGTAGCCCTATAGTCCTATGGACCTATAACCCAATCGCCCTACAGCCCTATCGCCCTGTAGCCCTTATAGCACTATAGTCTTATAGCCTTATAGCCCTACAGCCCTATAGCCCTATGGCTTATACGCCTATAGCCTTACAGCCTTATAGCCCTATAGCCCCATAGCCCTATATACCTATGGCCCTATGGCCCTATAGTCCTATAGCCCTATAGCCCCATAGCCCTATAGCCCTAAAAATATGATGATTGGGCTTTCCTCCGATATCATTGTATCATAGCTAGTTGGTTGTATTGTACTGTATTGTATTATTGTGTACTCAATTGACCATGTGATCGTACATGATATGTTATTGTGTCGGATTGGACTGTGGTGTGTTAGTGTACAGTGCAATAAACCATAGTGCTTGTGTGTCAAATGATACTAGAGTACGTTTCATCAGAGTTTGCCATAGTCTACGACAAGGCATTCGTCAAGTAGTGTGTTACGTTTTTGCTGTCGCATAAGATACTATATTGCGTGGTTTTACGCAGCATTGTTCACTGTTATGTTATAACTCGTTCTATTGTGGTATAAGAACTTGAGGTTTATGATGTTAGATTGAAGGATACAGTATGTTCATGCAGGATAGCGGCCAGATACGTTATCCACGATGTTCTGGTATATTACAGTGTAGATGTTTACCTCGTCCTACATCTTATACCATAATACAATATGATAGACCTGTACCCACATTTGACATTGTAGTATATCGTGTGTGATGTGTGATGTAGATGGTATTGTATATTACAGTATAGATAATATACTCTATCATATTCTAGCATAATATGTCAGACCGTCTTATGTCGGAGTGCACTATATCATACTAGCACAGAGCATAATATATCATCCCTGACATGCTATATGAAATTGTGTTATATGATACGACGGTATGTGGTATGGTATAGACTATTATGTTGTATTGCGTTAGACATTATATGCTACTAAGTATTGTCGTCTCATTGTACCTTATACTGTACGACTCTATGCTGCATAATAACCTATACTGAACAGAATTATACTATACCATACTATAATATACAGCATTAACAGCGAAGATATTATATACACAGTCGAGGTAATCCAGGCAATTGCTTCGCCGGTGAAGAAGCGGTGTTAGGGGCGGCTGAAAAAGGTCGGTCGTGTCGTGTCGTGTGCTTGATACGGATCGGTGGGATGCCACGGCAGCCCTCGCCCCTGCGAGCGCAAGAAAAGCGATGGAACTCGCAATCGCCGCGGACCCTGGGTCAACAAAGCGCGAGTAGAAAACCAGGACTGCCCCGCCTTTGCTGCCGGTCTTGCTGTCTCTCGTTCTCCACATTAGCTATCTAAAGCTGGATTGAAGTGGAGTTGTGCTGTTTGTGTTTTCGTATGCCCAAGTTCGCCAACTGTTGCCAACGCGTCCTCACTTTGCACAGGCCTCCGCAAAGAAGGAGTTTATGCTGGGGGTGGGCAGGTCGTTGTAGGCAGGCATATGCACGATTATCATTCCAGGTGTGCTCCCACGTTCCGATCACAATGCGGCAAGTATGTCACGGTAGATGCGAGACACATTGCAGCGAAGGTCAGGAGAATCTTTCGAGGATTGGTGAGGGGCTCTTTCCAAGGCGAAAAGGGCCAGCTCAGTTGAAAGCTCTGATTGGCAAGGCACGGCCCTGGTCGAGCCCTCTCTCCCTTTTCTCGCACACCCCCAGGCGCGTAGCTAAACAGTCCTCCTTCTGCCCCCCAGCCTGTCCCCCACTCTCGCCCTCCTCGTCCTCCTCCGCCGCAAACAATCCTCCGAGCCTGGCCACCACTCTCGCCCTCCTCGTCCTTCTCCACCTCGTCGTCCGCCTGCTCCTCCACCTCGTCGTCCTCCACCTTGGAGGCCTGGAAATTGGCACCAACACCAGCACAGGGGGTTGCCTCCACATGGGGACGATGATCCTGGATTTCGGTGCTGGTGGCAATGTTTCGGTCACCCTGGAAGCCAAAACCCTACCACCATCACCGAGATCGCGATCGTCTTCACTCGGTGGAGACACACCGCCGATCTTGGTGTTGGTGTCAGCCTCTAGGCCTCGATCCACCTCGTCGCCCGCCTGCCCTGCTCCCCACTCTCGCCCCTCTCGCCCTCCTCCGCCGCCAACAATCCTCCAAGCCTGGCCACCTCCCTCGCCCTCCTCGTCCTCCTCCACCTCGTCGTCCTCCACCTCGTCGCCCGCCTGCCCTGCTCCCTGGCGCCATGCTTCCTCAAGGCGGCCCCACAGCGCGGCGCCCGACCGGGTCGGCGAGAAAGCGCGGCTGCGCCAGGTGCGGGCGCGGGGCGGCCCCGTCAGGCGGACAGCTTGTGGCTCGCGCCTCGCCCGGCACCCAGCGGGAGCAGAGCTGGCAGAGTGGTCACTGGCCAGGGGCCCCGGGGGGGGGGGGCCCAGGTGGGGGGCCACATGCGACCCTACCCTACCCCCCACGATTTCCGAGGGGGAGGGTGGGGTTCACTTCGTTCGGGAGCTCCCGAGCGAAGTGAACCCCACCCTCCCCCTCGGAAATCGTGGGGAGTAGGGGTAGGGTTCGCATGTGGCCCCCTACCAGGACCGCAGCCAGGGGTGCCGATGTTATAAATCGTCAGCTGCGGGCACGCCACAAGCTCTACACCCTGCCGGTACAAGGCCACACAACTCTGGACCTGCGAGCCGCGGCCCCTGACCCAGGCCGGAGTTGGAACAAAGGTGAGCACAAACGGTGTGCTTTTGCAGCATTGCCGCTCCAGGCCGTGTCAAGACTTGTCTGATCGTTGCAGCGTCCCCTGTCAAAGGGGGAGCTGGCTGCGGATTACAAAAGCTTAATGGGTAAAATGCTTCATCTCCTGCCGGTTCACGTGCGCCTGGCTTCCACGATCGTCCAGCGTTCCCCAGCGCACAAGGGTTCCCAGTCGCCAGGCAATAGCTCACACTACTATCTCGGTCGAGCACGGACAAATCTTGATATCAATGCCCTCCCCCCCTCCTCTGATGGCTGGAGCCCCGCACCCCCCTCGGTAACCACCAACTTCGCAATCAGCGGCGGTCAACGACGCAAACGCACAGTCAAATGTTCCGATCCTCACAAGCAGCAGGCGGCCAGCCGAAGGCATCAGACGCCACTTCCTGTATACTGCCCCGACCCCTGGGGTAGGGTTTGACACGTATTTGCCGACATTCGCCTGAAAAGAACATAATATAACGCCTCCACACAGACAGAAACACACACACACACACACACACACACACACACATTGGCGCACACACACACACGCGCTATCGATCTTTCTATATATATATATTATAAGTATATCGAAATATCGATCTGCTAACTCTATCGACATACAGATCGACCAAATCGACCTGTACATCGATGTAATGCATACCTACATAAATATGCAGATCTACATTACGTAGGTAGGTATTACACCGATGCACAGGTTTGTGGATACATCGGTCGAACTGCATGCATATACATCGGTGTGCATGTGTACCTATAGATGTACACATATGAATAGGCCTGTGTGCTCCTGTCGCTCTGCCTTTACCTCTCTCGCTGCCTCTTTCTCTCTCGCTCTCTCTCGCTCTCGCTCTCGCTCTCTCTCTCTCTCTCTCTGTCTCTCTATCGGTCTCTCTTCACCAGGCACAGCAACGCAACCTAACACATCACGACATAATACAGCACGGCCCCAAATATATATATATATATATAAGGACAGAGACAACCTAACGAAACAAATGCCACGAAGGCCACAGCAAACACACAATGACAACTCACACTGTGAAAATATCGTCTCGACATGGCCTCCTTTGGGGTCCAACCGGGAGGTGAGGGACTACTGCACCAGACGCTTTCGCGTAGTCAAAAACCCTAATAAGGACGCGCGGTAAGGACGCAAAACCCTTGGAAGCCCAAGTTGGGATTTCTGGGGCGGCGGACGACGAAAACCCCAAGACGAAACCAAGGAAGGACGGAGACGCAAGAGCAAGGAAGAGCAAGGACGCAAGGGTACCCTGAGCAAAGTCGCGCGTCCTTATTAGGGTTCTTGACTGTATCAAATACGGCATCGCGTGGCGCCTCCCTTGCAGGGAGGGGCCGACCGCACACGCGAGTTGCCATCGACAAGCATGGTCTTCCGGGGGGCCTCGGAGCTCGGCGGTGGGGCCCGGGCACGGCTCCAGCGTCGAGCAGCCTTGCAGCCTGGAGGCGCCAGCCCTGCTCGCCATCGTTCGGACGTCCCTTCCCTGTGCATGTTTCGGTTTCGTGCCTGTTTTGTCGGCCCGATGGTCGAGGATGCTTCTCGATGGCCCCCAGCCGAGAAAAAATGCACACGTCCGAGCGATGCCAAGCCTGTGCCCTTGTGATCACTGGTGCGTTCAAGGGTGAATGCCGTGTCCATGGAGAGGTCTTGGCATGCAGGCCGTGGGCTCTGATGCGGCGTCAGCCTCCCCCCTGAAGAGCATGCCCCAACCCTGCCCGCCTTGAAATCTCACGAAGGAGCGCAGGTCGTGCGCCCCCCTGAGCCGAGGCCACGCGCGAAAGCGCGAGGGCGCGGGCAAGGAAAGTCCTCCACGCCACGGCAGTCGAGCGACGAAAGGAAAGGGGCCTTGCGCGAGATGACAGAGCGAGCGACCTTACGCCGCGGCTTACGCGGGCCGCCAGCGCGGCACACCACATCGGAAACGAAGGCGCTTACGCGCGACCTCGCGCGGGCAACTCGCGCGCCACGCCAATGTCGGTGAAGGCGAGCCCGTTGTTTTACCGTCGCTCCTTTGTGAAGAGCCGCCAGCCTTGCGCGAGTGTCGCATACGGCGTCTGTGCTGCTGGATCGCAACAGCAGCCTGCCGCCGACGCCAGGAACGCTCCCAACTTTGGTCACATTCCCATGACGCATCGGCGAGGGGCAGCGTCGAATACGGGTGAGAACTCTGCGGAGCCAGGGAAGATGATGATACGAGGCTTGGAATGGCAAAGTGCGATGAAAATGCTGACAGAGTACGATGACATGCTGTGCGGCAAGGCTTCGCTTCGACGACAGCTTGGCGGGACCCCACGCAACCTGGCCAGGCCGTCCAACGCGTGGTGTCATTCACAGCGGGGCGCGCGGGAGGAAAAGGAGGAGGGGGTAGGAGGAGGAGGAGGAGGAGGAGGAGAATGAGGAGGAAAAGGAGGAGGAGGAGGAGGTCTCACGTGGGGATCGCCAGTCCAGCCCTCCACACAGAGCGAAAATCAAGAAACTGAGACGATGCGTCACATGATGCAGACACCGTATGGCCGACTCTGGGCACCCCCGGGCAGCACAACACGACATCTTGCAGCGATGGCTCGGTGGCGGACCCTGCCCCCAAAACCCCTAGACTCGTGCTAGCATGGCTGATGTGTCTGGAACGGCATGCTGGGCTGCCCTCTCCCTCCGTCCCGCATATCCCACTCCCTCCTCTCCTCCATCCTCCTATCCTCCTCCCTCCTCCTCCTCTTCCTCCTCCTCCCTCCTCCTCTCCTCCTCCTCCTCCTCCTCCTCCTCCTCCTCCTCCTCCTCCTCCTCCTCCTCCTCCTCCTCCTCCTCCTCCTCCCTACCCTCACTCCTCCGTTCCCTTTCTCCTCCCCGCTCCGTCCGCTGGCTCTGAGCGCTGCCGTGGACCCCCCTCCCCTCTCCCCTCTCACTCCCTCCCTGCCGCGCCGTTCTCCTCTCCTGCCCACCCACGCTTCCCCATCTGAGCATCCTTTAACCGATCCTCATCCTCGCGCGCATGGTCTGGGCCCCACTTGCCAATGTAGCACCCCAAGATGGGGAGATATGGGATATGCGCTGTTCCCTCCAAGACTCGAGCGCCCACATGCATATCCCCAACTGTGGTGGTGGGATCGAGGGGATCGGGATGGGGATGAAGATAGAGATCGATTCAACTGAGGACACCAAGAGGTATCGATACCGCGACTCCCCAGGCCTCTCCTGGGGTGCGCTCTGACCAGAATCTCAAAGGCGAATCCAGCCGCGGCGACGCGAGCCTCCCAGGAAGCCCCAGAAAGGGGAAAACGATGGAGGGGTAGCGGCATATCGGTACTCCAGATTTCGTAATAAAGGGAGGGGGGTCTCATTTCGGGGGGGGTCTCTTCCAGGCTATCTTGGAGGGCCTGGGGGGTCTGGGGACGATGTTTTGGAGGGTTCTCCCACGGGGGAGGTCTGGAATGGCTTGTCTTGGAGGGCCCAGACCCCCTCCCTTTATTACGAAATCTGGAGTACCTTTTCCTCCTCCGAGAGATGGGGATAGGGATCGGTTCAACGATGCTGACCATCTCCTGCGCTCGGCGAAGGGACACTTTTGGAGGTCGGAAAGGGGTGTGGCACAAAAGGGTGTGGTGCCAATCGTGGAAGCTGCGATGTTGTCGACGGTGCATGGCATCGCCAGGTTCAGCAGTGGCACCACACCCCTTGACACCACCAGAGCGCTGGGCACCCGCCCAGAGCGCTGGGCACCCGCCTCCTTCCTACCTCCAGAGCGCCTCCTTCCTACCTCCAGAGCGCTGAGCCCTTGGCACCTCCTTCCTGCCTCCAGAGCGCCGGGCACCCGCCCAGAGCAGCGGCCTGCCGGGCCGCAGCGGCGTCCTCCCGCGCAGCGGGCCGGGGAGGAGCACCGGCCGGCCAGGGCGCTTCGGCGGGCCCAGCGCCCGGGCGGGTGCAGCCGCGGCAGCGCGGCGTCGGCACGCAGGGCGGCGAGCTTGCGCAGATCCACTGCTCCCTGGCCAGGCCTACGATTGAGGGAAACAATTAAGCAACACTCCCCCCCTACCCCGCAATTCAAAGTTGACAGGTTTTCGCAAGACCGCTCGGAGGCCGAAACCAACATTGCATGTGGGGGAGGGGGGGAGGTTCAAACCATATGTTGTGCATGAGTGTTGCTTGATTGTTTCCGACACCTGTACCCTGGACCCAGCAGCGGTGTGCACGCCGCGCCCTCTCCCGGCTTGGCCGGCCAGGAGGACGTGCGCACAGCTCCTGGGCCCAGGAGGGGCCCAGCCAGGGAGCAGCGGATGTGTACAGATTTCGTCGCCCGAGCACGGGCAGGCAGCAGGACTCACCGCTGTCGATCCAGAGGTCAGAGGAAGAGAGCACGGCACAACCATGAGCTTTGGAAAGTCTACGCAGACTTCTTGGATCCGCGCCGGACTCACTCCCTGGCGCGCGGAGCGCGCCAGAGGCGCCGCCAGGGGGGTCCAGCGCAGCACTAAGAAATCCGCGCGGAGCCCCAGAAGTCTGGTTTTATGATGTTTGTTTTTCTTCGAGAGGTGCACACCAGCCAAGAGCCTCTCGACCCCATCCTGGGGAAAGATTTATATCCTGGTTCCTTCTTTACTGTCCCATGGCCCCAAGAGGGCGTCCACAGGCCCAAACCGCAAAAAAAGTGGCGTCGCTCTCCTCATCACGAAGGACGAGGGAGGAGGAGGAGGAGGAGGAGGAGGAGGAGGAGGAGGAGGAGGAGGAGGAGGAGGAGGAGGGTGAGATGAGACTAGGCGTAGGACGGTGGCACTTGGGGGGTGATCCGCCGCAGCGTTGTGTATAGAACCCAGCGGGGTTTCAAGGGAAGGGCTGTGCTTTGCTGTAACCGCGCTGCTACTTCACCTAAATGGTTGGATCGTTCTGGATGCATGGCAAAGTTCTGTATCACCGATGATGAGAAACTACTACTGCCGTTGCCCACGTGAAAATATGATGGCAGAGTGTGGATCCGCAAGCTCCAATGAATCAATCGAGTTGCCCGTCGACTTGGCTCCATCCACCTCTATGGCGGGAGTCCACCAGAAATCTGAGCCGAACTTGAACTTCGCATCAATGATGAATCCGTCATGGATTGTGTTATCACCTCATGTTATCATTGCATACGTCGTTATACCACGTGCGCCAAGCGTGAGCATTCCTTTGAGCAACTTCACCATACACAATGTGCGAAATGATTGGAACTTGCCGCTCATCCCCCCAGACTTTGACTTCTATCCCTCTAACGCCCTTGGGTGTCATGGTGTCGGATGTTCGCCTGGGCAAGCGCATTCCGTAACTTGTCACTCCACTCTCGGAACGTGGCTCGATCTTCCAAATACATTTAATGAGTGGATCGCCTCTGCATCAGCGATGCGTGCTTGACAACCCCGCGTCTGAGGCGCTGCGCGTGGTCTGTGTTATTGTGCACGTTCGAATGACACTGTTACATGACGACCCTCCGACTGTCGGCATATGTTCGCACAACCGTGTTATCATAATGTGTTTGCGCCTGTTGACCATGTTTGTTCGTGCCAGTCGTTGCAGCTGTCATGTTCGCACCGTGCAGGCAGCAATGAGAGTAGCACAGTATCTGGTGGCTGCGTCGTCTGATTGATGGAGTTGGCAATAAAACGTGGTTGGTCTATACAAGGTTGTGATGGTGAACCCATGCTCATGCACCCCTGCTGCGATGCTACATGAACTGTAGAGTTCCCATAGTTCGTCACGACTGACTGGGAGCTGTGGCTCCGCTGGTCGTTGCAACTGACATGCGGCCATGTCGTCCTCGCCCCGCTACATGGAACAAATCCGCTGGCTGTAGCTGAAACGATCGGGTGCGAACAAGGTCATCAAGCATACAATGTGCACCAATGCCTGAACTAGTGGAAATCCAAGATCGCATCTTGAGACAAACTGCAATGGGTAAAATGACGTTCACCAGTCATTCCAGCTGGCATGTTCTGATACGTCCTCCTCCTCCCCCTCCTCCTCCTCCTCATCATCATCACCATCATCAACATCATCACCATCATCACCATCATCACCATCATCACCATCATCATCATCATCATCATCATCATCATCATCATCATCATCATCATCATCATCAGAATCATCATCATCATCATCATCATCATCATCAGCAGCAGCAGCAGCAGCATAATCATAATCATCATCATCACACACCACCACCACCATCACCACAACCACCATCACATCATCATCACCACCACCAACCACATCATCATATCATCATCATCATCATCATCACATCATCATCATCATCATCATCATCATCATCATCATCATCATCATCATCATCATCATCATCATCATCATCATCATCATCATCATCATCATCATCATCATCATCATCATCCCTCTCCTCCTCCTCCTCCTCCTCCTCCTCCTCCTCCTCCTCCTCCTCCTCCTCCTCCTCCTCCTCCTCCTCCTCCTCTTCCTGCCACCCGCGCACGCGCACTTGCCTTCTCCCGTGCGCGGGCACACGCGCTCCCGTGCACGCGCGGGTGGGAGGGGCGAGGGGCCGCCCCGGGCGCCGCGGGGCGGGGGAACGAGCGCTCGGAGACGGGTCCCCTCCCCCGCACCTCGGGCGCCGTCTCCCACAAGTGGCGCCGTGAGCTCCCACTGCTGGCGTGCCGCGCTGGCGGCCCGCGCACGCCGCGGCGACAGGCCGCCACGTCTGAAGGGGCCCACAGACACACAAATAAATACACACACAAATGAATACACACAAATAAAAGATCCCCAATATTTTCCATATTTTCTTGGTTTTTGTCTTCCCCCCCACTTCCCATATTTTCCCATATTTTCCTGGGGATCGACGACGAATTGTCTCTGTGTGTTTCTTCCCCTCCTGAACGTCACCTCGCGTACAGTGGAGGCCAGCCCACAAGGAACCTTCCACGAGAGACCCCACCCTGAGACCCCAGGACGTCCACGGATCTTCGGCGTGGGAGCGTCACGCTCTCCGTAGCAGAACCGCCGAAGCCCAAGAAACCCAGGGCACCCTGGAGGCAAGCAGGGCGTTTCTTGACATGGGTTCCCACTCTACGCGCGAATGTCGGCGAAGACGACCGCGTTCTTTCTGCGTCGCTCGCATGGCTCCGCCATCGGACCATCGCCTGGGCCTCCGGAAGCTCACGTCGGGCCGCGGGGCAGCTGGGCGGAGCGCCGGGCGTCGACAGTCCCGCGCCCGGGTCGAAGGGGCCCGGGTCGAAGCCCGCCCTGGGACACAAGTGGACACACACACACACACACACACAAAATCCCAGGACGGCCCAAGAGGCCTCCAAGACCGCCCAAGAGGCCCCCAAGACGGCTCCAAGAGTGCCCGGACGGGGGACCCGAACGGACATTTCGAGCCCTCGGCCTGAGAGGCTCCCAGGAAGCGCCAAGAAGCCCCCATGACGCCCCCAAGAAACCCCCAAGATGCGCCCAGGAAGCCCCTAGAGGCCCCCAAGCGCCCAAAATTACCCCCCAGAGGTACCCGAGAGCGCTCTGGAGAGACCCCAAGAGGCATCCCTGAGGACTCTGACCACGTCAGCGTCGTCGTCGTCGTCGTTCAGGGTCGGCGGCGCCGGCCGAAGGCCTCATCCTAGGATTCCCTATGCTTTTCCATATTTTCGGGACTTCTGGAGGCTTAGAAATGGGCACCAACACCAACACAGGGGGTTGCCTCCACATGGTGAATCTGATCCTAGATTTCGGTGTTAGTGGCAATATTTCGGTCACCTTGGAAGCCAGAATATTACCACCATCACCGAGATCGGGATTTTCTTCCCTTGGTGGAGGCACACCGCCGATATTGGTGTTGGTGTCAACCTCTAGGCCTGCCTGCCCTTAGTTTGCCACATGTTCCTGGGAACCGACGAGGATTGGTGCCCGTGTGTCTTCTGTTCCTCCTGGCCTGC